TATATATATATATATATATATATATATATATATATATATATATATTCTTAAGTTTTCGCGGGTACTTACATGTATGGCCTTCAGCTTTGTTCGGGTATTTTCCCACGTCATAGTAGTGGTGCTTTTAAAGTTGTAGCAACGTTTCAGCAGAATCTCATCTGCCATCATCAGGCTTCTGTATTGTGTCCGTCTGTGAGTCAGACTTTTACAGTGGTTTCAGATTTAAATTTGGGGCAGCCTATTGCTGTGCCAGAATGGTTTTTTCTTCATCCTGATTGGTTGGGAGTCTTGGTCTGTGTTTATTGGTCTCGGAGTTTGCTGTGTTCTGCTTGATTGGTGTCTCTAATATCTTCTGTCTGTTTTTTGGCTCTTTTTGTATCTTGATTGGCTGGCAGCATTGTGTTACTTTATTGGAGGCCTTTAGTGCAGCTTGGCTTCGGGTAAATGGACGGCTATCATTGGTTAGGAAGCTGGGTTTCATCTGGGTGCCTGGTTGGGATGTGTTTGAGCTGGAGGTATCAGGGGGGATCTGTTTGTGCCCAGGTGTTTGCCTGGCTTGTGGTGTGGAGATTTTTTTGTTTGTGAGTGCAGGCTTCCAAATGATTGACAGCCTGTTGGAATCATCTCTTCTATTCATGCTTTCTGGTCTTTTTTCAATCTCTATGGCTTCTCTGATGATTCTGTGGCTAGGGTTTTCTATAGTGGCTAGGGTTTTGGTGCCATTGAAGTTGATGCTATGACCTGTGGCTTCCATGTGTTGGACTAGTGAGGAAGTGTGTTCCAGCTTTTTGACTGCATTTTTGTGTTCATCCAGGCGGGTGCTTATTCTTCTATTGGTCTGTCCAATGTATGTGGCCGGGCATGATGCACAGGGGACTTCGTATATGCCTTGGTTTTCCAGGTCAATTTTGTCTTTGGGGTTTCTGAGGATGGCTGCTATTTTTCTGTCTGTTTTGAAGGCAGTCTTGATGTGGTGTCTGTATAGTATCTTACTAATTTTGTCTGTAGTGCCTCTTATGTAGGGCAGGACAGCTGTTCCATGGGTCTGTTCATCTTCTGGGTCTCTATTATGTCTCAGTGTGTTTTTGTGGATCAAGTTGGTGATTTTGCTTTTGTGGAAGCCGTTGGCTGTCAATATTTTAGTCAGGGTGCATAGTTCAGTCTTAATGTGTGTCTTGTCTGCCAGGCGTTTGGTTCTAGTAATTAGTGTTTTAGCCACGGAGTTTATCTGTGCTGGGTGGTGGTGGGATTGGGCGTTGAGGTAGCGATTGGTGTGTGTTTTCTTCTGGTATATGGTGTGTCCTAGTGTGCCATCTGTTTTTTTGTAGATTAGTACATCTAGGAATGGTAGTTGTTTGTTTGTTTCTGTTTCCATGGTGAACTTGATTTTGGGGTGTGCGCTGTTTAGGTGTGTTAGGAAATTGTTTAGGTTTTCTTGTCCATGGGGCCAAATCACGAATGTGTCATCGATGTATCTTAATCATAGTTTGGGTTTGAGGATGGCATTGGCCAGGGCTCTGGATTCAAATTCTTCCATGAACAGGTTTGCAATGACAGGTGACAGTGGTGATCCCATGGGAGCTCCTTCTATTTGTTTGTATCTTTGTCCTTTGTATATGAAATATGTGTTGGTTAAGCAGTGTTCTGTTAGTTCCATGAGGTGTTTAGCTGGTTGGTATTTATTTTTGATGATTTCAAGGGTCTCTTTTATCGGGACTTGAGTGAATAGTGAAACCACGTCAAAACTTACAAGCAGATCTTCTTGCTCCACGTGTAGATCTTTGATCATTTCCAAGAAGTGGTATGAGTTTTTTACATGAGAAGCTGCTGTTTCAGCATGGGGCTGTAGCTCTTTTGCTAGGTGTTTAGCTAGGTTTTGTAGTGGTGCTCCTCTGGAGCTGACTATGGGTCTGAGAGGTATACCTTCTTTGTGTATTTTTGGGAGGCCGTATAGTTTGGGGCATCTGGAAGATTTCTCTCTGGGTATGATCGTGTGTTGGATCTCTTTGCTTATGTGGCTGGTTATAATTTTCTTCTTGGTTAATTTTTCCAGATATGTGGTTGGGTCTGTGTTTATGGGTTTGTATGTGGAGTCTTGGAGTAGGTCTGTCAATTTTGTTTCATAGTCTTTTCTGTCCATTACTACAGTGGCATTCCCTTTATCTGCTGGGAGGATGATTATGCTGCTGTCTCTTTTCAGGGTTTGTAGCGCTTTAATTTCATTTTGCTGCAAGTTGCTTTTGGGTGGTTTGCTTGTGCATAGGATGTTGGTAACTTGGTGTCTTATTTTATCAGCTTCATCTGTATTTAATTTAGTTAGGCTGGATTCTACTGCACATATGATGGATTCTGTGGGGATTTTTTGGGGTGCTATAGCATAGTTGAATCCTTTGGTTAGGACTTCTGTTTCTGTTTTGGTGAGTTCCCTGTTGGAAAC